GAACAGATCCAACAGCTACACGGGCGGAGGGCAAATCGTTTTCAGACATCGGGCACACTGGCGCCGCGCACGCTCGTCTGGAAAAAAACAGTCAACTCCAGTGGTGGCCCATCGCTCTCAAAAGGAAGCTCTCGCTCTGGCGCCGCGCACACCGAAGTTCACCATCCCCAGCAGCTGCCCGGATGCAGGGCGGCCGTTTTAGTGTGGGTCTCTGTTACGCCTGTTATCGCTCAAGGTCGCGAGGGTTTCTGTGCGGGTGCCCGTCTACCTATGTCGGCCTACGCACGCGCGAGTTTTTGGTCAGTCTCGCTCCCCCCTCCTCTCTTCCTCTCCTCTTCCTCCTCTGCCTCCCCCCCCCAACGTGGTGACGTCAGCCCGGCCAGCCACTTTATGGTTTCTATTTGTCCACTTTCGTGTGCATGCGGGAGGCGGCAAGCCGGAACAACATAAGATTGACATCCTCATTTTGGGTGTACCGGCCTATCCGCGGCTTTAGGCGTGTAGTCTGTTGGACGTCGTGTTCTCCCCTCACGGCCTGCGGGCTGATCCCATCCCTTGCTCTAATGCGGTGCAAAAAAAATGTATGTCATCGTTCAAGGTTGGGTAGCAGCAGTTTCCAGTTTGGCAACATGTACGCGGATGGAGGCCATTCTTTCCACAATGGAATTTTCGATTTGGATTCTTCCAGAATCATAATCTGGATGCCAAAGGTGTGCGAAGGATACAGATGGGAGCCGTTTCTGTATCAAATCGGATTTGTTGTTGGACATGTGTGTTTAAATCGGGAACGCCGGCGGCGTATTACCGGTCGCTCCTTGGGAGTATGACGCACGTGTCGGCGCAGAGTTGCAGGGTGTGTCTCGAGGGCCACCGAGGCCGTCATGAAGCCATCGTGGGCTGTCTTGAAGCGCTGTGCTCGAGGGGCACCGAGGCCGTCTTGAAGCCACCGCGGGCTGTCGTGGAGCTCTGTGCAGAGAAGTTCGGCCAGGACGCTCTCACGGCCCACGCTGCGGACAAGGGGTCGTTTCGGGACGGTTGCTCAGGCCCTGTGGGAAGCCTCTCGGCGGCCTCATCGGGGGCATTGTGGGGACTTTTGGATCTTCGTTTGGCTTTGCGGGCCCTTCCTGGATCCTCTTTGGGGAGCCTCGGGCCGCCTGGAACGCCTTGGGAGCAAAGCTTAGGACAAATGGCTCCGAAGGCCATTTCGCTTCTCCCTCTTGTGCCTCTTATGGAGCTCTCTCGGCTCTGTTTTAGTTGGTTCCCTTTAGGGCCTCCTGGGCCGCCCTGGGGAGATCTTGAAAGCGTCGTGGGCTGTCTTGGAGTGTCAAAAGCCCGACAAGGGGAGAAGAGTAAAATCGGTCAAAACAAAGATGGCATGGCTTCATGTCTTGGGGCACCTCGATTAGTGGATTGCGGATTAGTGGATTGTCCGTTTTCGGTTCTCGAGGGGGCGCCGCGGCCGTCATTTTTCCAGGCTTGCGCCCGTTGGGTTTGGGCCCGAGGTCGTTTTCACTCAACCACGTTTTACTAAATGGAGTCGTGTCCATCCCCGAGTGATCCTTTTGGCTGGTAGCTTGCCGTTGTGCACGGTGGCTTGTTCTAGTTTGGCATCGCCCACAGCAGCGACATGAATTGTACGTGCGTGGAGGGGGCGTTGACATCATGCGTCTGGCGCGCGCATGTGCGATGTGCCTTCATGCGTCCACGCCCCACAAGGGGGGTGTCGAGCGCACGATCGGCAGATTCTCCCATGTAGAGATACGTTCGCGGAGGGGGGGGACAACGTGTTTCTAGGCACACATGCGTCTGGCATGTGTTTAACTTGTCGTCTTCCCCACACAGCTGCCGGTAGGATGTCGCTCGTGGTCGTCGGATTCTCTGCTCGCGGAAGGGGGCGCGCGGAGGGCGGGGCATCCCGAGTGCGCGCGGCGCGCGCGCGCAGTTTTTGCTGCTTGCCCCAGCCCCCATGCGGAGGAGATTTCGAGCATGCGGTCGCAGGATTCGGTAAGAAGGCGTGCGCGGAGCTCAACGGTGTTTGGGGGGCTTTACGCCCCCGGGTCGCGTTTCAGGGGCCCCGCGTCGTTGTGCTTTCGCTGCCGAGGAAAACAAAACAGATAATGCGTGCGCGGAGGGAGGGGTCTCCAACATGCGTGTAGCGCGTGCGTACGTTTGCCGGATGTAGCCATATTGGATTGGTTGTGCGGCTCTTTGGAGATGACGGAGGTCAACTTAGACATGTGAGTCATGTCGGTTGCAATCTCAGGCTATCACCCTCTGACACGTCGCCCTCCATCCTGCCCCTTTCAAGACCCAGGGGAGGGGTAAACCCTTCCCCGAAGGGAAAGAAAGGGGAGAGGTGAACCCTTCCCCGAAGGGGATGAGGGAGGCTGGAAAAGGAAACTATTTACCACATGTGCCCGCATGACTGGTGAGACTAGCATATGATAGCATGCCACACCAGCGCATACCAGACATAACATAATCAAGTTTTGCCACATTTCCTTACCAGGTTCGTGGATTCCTCTAGTTTCCAGCAGAAGCATCGTCCTCTTCCGCGGGGGCAGTTTGCAACGTTGAATTCACACCTGGTAGCCCAAGGCACGATATCTGGGTCGCCAGATGTTTTTGGGCGTTTTGCTGAGGTACACAGAGGTTCCTGAAGGCTTCCATGGGGCCCCAGAGGCCCCTGGAGGCCCGACACGTTCGCAGAAATTGCCCAACACATATTCAAGGAGCAAGCTCAAACCTCCCCGTTCCTCGAACCTCCCCGAACCTCGCTCCTCGAACCTCCCCTCCCCTCCCCCTAGAACCCCACCGAACCTCTCGGGTTGACCCAAAAGGGGGTCCAGCGACAAGGGGGTGGCGCAGTAGATTTTGTGCAATAGACTTGTGGGGTTGCAATACATTTGGGGCGTGCAATACACTCGGGGGCGCGACTGTATTGCTGGATTTTCGCGTGCAACACATTACTTGCAACACAATGCAGTACAACTCTCCGGCACAGTACGTTTGCAGTACGCTTGCCTCAAATCTATTGCACCACCCCCTTTCAGCTTGCCCCCCTCTTGGGTCACCCAAAACCTCCCCTCTTCCCCTCCCCGAGCGTTCTCGACCTCGCTCCCCGAACCTCCAGTTCCCCTCCGCCCCCGCTCGGTCGGACGACTCGGAGCGCGGGTTCCCGCTGCCCCGGGGCTGCTACTTCGAGACCTACGCGGGGCCCCCAGCAGGGCGGTGCGCGCGGAGGGGGCCGCCCGCGGCAGCAGCGCTCTCGGCACCTTTTTGTTAGCACCTGGGCGCGTCTTGCTTCTTCGGTTGTCTGTGCAGTGGTCCCCCGTGCAAGAGGGCGCAGAACAAAGGAGGAGACGAGGTCCAGGAAGGCGAGGAGAACAAGGAGAGACAAAGCTGGAGGAGGAGGAGGAGGAGGAAAAGGACCGAGGACGAAGAGGGGAAAGGGATGAGAAGGGGGAGAAGGACGAGGAGTGGGATGAGGAGGCGGACA